CACCAAACTCCTTTGGTAACCTTGTCTAAAGTATGTTCAAAATAACAATATGATGTCAACATTACTATTTCAAAAAGAAAGAAAATTGTCATTTGTGTGTCCAGAGACAGTGGATGTCTTGGAATGATGTCAGGCATCAATGACCACGTCCCACAGTGTGTGTTTGAAACTTTACACTAAGGCTCGAATTGCTTTCTCACCCTAAAACCTGTAGCTGAGGCTTTTCCACACAGCATCCCATAAGCATGTGTTGACATCACAAAGTATATGGGGATAACATGAGACAATCCATTCAATACAATCAATTTTCCTGAACCTTTGGGGGCAAGTTGATGACAGAAACAATATGGGTAGTAATAGTTAACACCTTGTCCTTCAGCAAGAGTACAAGCCACCTCAGTTTACAAAGTACCTATTTAATCCTAAGTACCACTCCACATACTTCACATCTTATCACCTCCAACTCTCAGAATAAACAAGCTAGTCACATTTTCAAACTGACAGAAATGATTGTGTAGCAAACATCTTTTCTAAATGTTAAATAGTGTAATAAATGATGGAACATACACAAAAGCTGAGAGTATACTACAATGTGTCCTGACATATCTTCAAAGCCAAGTTTAACAGTTACTGAGATGCTTCCAAATTATCTTGATCAGTCCCTTTATTTTCTACTTTGATAAAATACTGTAAAGGAAACCCCATACCCAAGGTATTGCCCACACCACAAGGGCATATCTCTGTCTCTCAGACTCTCTCTCTCTCTCTCTCTCTCTCTCTCTCTCTCTCTCTCTCAGAGATCCTGGCTGCAGCTCAGAGACGATAGAGTGCTTCCCTTGTAAGTGACCTCTCTCTTCCATAAGGTGTCTTAGACTCCTTCTTTTCCCATTGCACTGATATCTGCAACACCCCAGTGATACCTTTCACCCATCCATCAGTATTCATGTCTCAAAAAATGAAGACAGAATCATATATAATCACAAAGCTTACAATCAAACATAAGAAAATCAAACAATAGATGCATAGGTGCCTCTCAGTCACTAATCAAACATTCCCAGTTTTTCAAGAAAATCTTATATATAATTTGCTCACAATGGGATCCAAAAAGGGTCTAAAATAAACACACACACACATCTTTTCTCTTAAGCTCCTTCTTCCTCTTTATTTCCTATCCCACACTGCTAAAACAAATATTTTTGTGGTTAAATTATTAATTTATATTCCAAGAAATTTACATGGTCAAGTGTACAGCTTTTGCATATTCACACAATTGTGCAGCCATCACTCTATGTAACTGCAGAACTTCCTATCACATCAGAGAGAAACCTGTGGCCAGCAGCAGCTACTCCTCGTAGGCTGTGGCAATTACTAACATACTTCCTGTTCTACAGGGTTTCCTATCCTGAACACTTCATATAAACAGGATCACAATCACAAAACGTATCTTTACTGTCCATCAGGGAGACATCCCGGACAGACTCATATTCATGTGACATGATTCATACATATGTCAGATTAAAATGAGCATCCATATAGAATGGCACATGGCAGACGCTTTCAGCTTTTGTCCCTCTTGTCCCTCACACATATGTGATCGTCGCCCATGAGACGAGCTCACGGGTTATACATGTGTACAAGAAGACATTTTTGTTGGCCACAATTTTTACAAGGAAGAATAATAAACCAATGCTGGCTATTCAGCATTGCGGCCACAACGTGACAAGGCTCAATGCCAAGCTACAACTCTCTGCTTTCTTCTTCCCTTTTAATGAAGCATAACATAATACAAACAGGAAAACAGAGAGAACCCTTAATGTTTGTTTGTTTAGTGTATCACTCATACATAGACTCAATGGGGAGAGCAGCAGAGAGCGCTGGTTAAGACACAAACTATAGTCTGCACCTTCTCCAAATCCAGGCTGCCTGAACCAGCCTTTTCACCACTACCTACTTGGCTTTTGGCAGGTATTTCATCTCTAAGTCTAGGTTTTTGCCTGACATTCCAGGGAGACACTGCTGAGAGTGACTGCTTCTGCTGCCTTTGGGCAATAATAACTATTACTCTTAACTGCCATCAGCAAGTCAGCCCGACACCTCAGAGTCCACGAAGTCACGGTACTAAAGGTGCAGAAGTGCCTGGTGGAAAGTGCTAGGCTTTCAGCATTCCAGCACACAGCTGCAGGGACCTGGCAGGCAGCAGAAAAACTGGTCCGGTAAGAACAGTGAGACAGAGAAAAAACTTAAAACTACAATGGTAATTATCTCGAAAAAATTTTTTTCATGACAGGGTTTCTCTGTGAAACAGCTCTGGGTGTCCTGGCACTCGCTCTGTAGACCAGACTGGCCTCCAACTCCCAGAGATCCATGTGCCCCTGCCTCCCGAGTGCTGGGATTAAAGGCGTGCGCCACCACCGCCCAGCTCAATTATCTCTTTTACTGATAAAATTTTACACATATTTTGATCATATTCTTTTCCCTCTCAACTCCTCCCAAATCTTCCCCCACTTTCCTGTGCTGGCTATTCTCCGTTGTCAGCTTTGCTATATCTGGAATTAACTAAAACTCCAGAATGGGGCACTCCTATGAGTGACTTTTGTGGAATTTGAAGTGGGAAGACCCACTTCTAATCTGAAACTTTGAGGTGGGAAGACACACCTTCAATCCAGATCTGCTGAGGTGAGAAGACCCACCCCTACTGAGGGCTACATCTTCTGCTGCAAGCCGAAACAAAGACACAGAAGGAGGAAATTTTTGTTCTCTGTCTGCTTGTTTTCACCTCCCCAGCAAGTCAAGCCCATTCTGTCACTAGTCTTAGAACCCACTTCTTCAGGATTCCAGCATCTAACAAAGACCAGCTGCGGCATCCAACCCTGCGGACCAAGCAACTGCAATCTGGGACCTTCCATTCATAGGTAGCCATTGTTGGACTAGCTGAAGTACAGTCTTTAAGTCATATTCTCTTTCTCTCTCTCTCTCTCTCTCTCTCTCTATATATATATATATATATATATATATATATATATGTAGATAGATAGATAGATACTCTCATTCTATAAATTCTGTCACTCTAGAGAACCCTAAGCAATACACCAGCCAACCAACTTTGTTTTCTCTCTCAAAACAAAAAAAATCAATTATTTTTTTATTGTCATTATAAAATAGTTCCATTATAATAATAGGTTGTTTTAATAACACTAAAAATAAGGCTCAAGAGAGCTGAATGCCAGTCAGGTCCTCTCCCTCCTTTGTTTTCTCCTTGGTCATCACCAGTCAGGGGATGGAGTGTTGGCTCTACAGTTTAGATCACTTGCTCTTGAACAGGATGGGGGTTCAGTTCCCAGCATCCACATGGAAGCTCACAACCACCTGTAGCTCAAACTCAGGTCAACTGATTTCTTCTGACCTTCAGAGGAAGCAGGCAGGTACATGGTGCTCTCGCTCTCTCTCTCTCTCTCTCTCTCTCTCTCTCTTCTCTCTCTCTCTCTCTCTCTCTCTCTCACACACACACACACACACACACACACACACACATCCCTCTTAATAAAAAAACAAACTTTTCAGGCCGGGTGGTGGTGGTGCACACCTTTAATCCTAGCACTTGGGAGGCAGAGGCAGGTGGATCTCTGTGAGTTCAAGACTAACCTGGTCTGCCAAGAGTAGTACCAAGACAGGCTCCAAAGTCACAGAAAGACCCTGTCTCGAAAAACAAAACAAAAAACCACAAACTTTTCTTCCATTTCTGTCAACTCTTAGTGTTCAAACATAATATGGCAAAAAACAAGGTAATTTTACTATCAGCCCACCAGTCTATTTTATTTGTTCTTAAGAAACTGAGTAAAACAACCTACAGACGCTTGAAATGCTTCCAATAAACATCTTAGGAAACAGAAACTTCTGTGTTGAGCTGAAAGCCAATTCAACTCACTGATTATTTTATACTCCTAGCAAAAGACCTACTTCCTATTTATAAAGTAACATTTATTCCCTTGATAAAACCACCACCCTATACAAAGAATAAATACAGTAATGGTCATTAGCAAATGTATCAACACACAAAAATGCCATGCATCTCTCTCTCTCTCTCTCTCTCTCTCTCTCTCTCTCTCTGTGTGTGTGTGTCTGTGTGTGTGTGTGTGTGTGTGTCTGTGTCTGTGTCTGTGTCTGTGTCTGTGTCTGTGTCTGTGTGTCTGTATGTGTATAGGGGACAGAGGCCAGGTAGTGGTGGTGCACGCCTTTAGTCCCAGCATTCGGGAGGCAAAGACAAACATCTTTGTGAGTTTGAGGCAAGCCTGGTCTACAAAGTGTCAGGATAAGCTCCAAAACCCCATCTTGACCAAAAACAAAAAAAACAAAAAAAAAGTTAGAAAGGGTATTTCTAGGTTTTGTGCAAAATAGGGGGAAACCCTTTCTTTTTGAAGTGCATAGCTCACATGCTGGTTTTTCTATCAAGAGGGCCCACATAATGAGGATTAAGACACAGACACAGAGTAAAATTTGAAGACAAAATGAAAGAGCTCTTACTTTTAATTTTATGCCCCTCATAAGCGTATGAATTTGTTATAATGAATTAAAAACAAAATAGCAATGGCTGGGAAGTAAGTAAAGGAGGAAGCACTGCTACGGGCAACCCACATTTCTTTATGAACAATTTACCTCCCCACATGAATGTATGCCAGCTTACTGTCTGTTTAAACTAAGCGGACCGTGCCGCTTAGGTGAGCACACAGCCTGAGCTGCCTCGGAAGGCAAACAGAATAGATATTTCATTTTGAGTTACCCATTTAGCCAGCTTTCCCAGAAAACCACATTGTGAAACGGTTCAAATAATGAAAAAACACAAGTTGTGATTTTGCACCTTTTCCTTTGCAGGTAAGAAAACCAGCGGTCAAAGGGTCAGAACAGAGAAATCTGTGAGTCTCCTGGAACAAGCTCAACACACAGGAGCAACATAACATTCCTCTTCCCTTGCCTTCTCCATACAGTGTGTGGCTGCTTCTTACCTGATCGCAGATCAGCTCCCATTTCTTCTCATTGTCATACTGCCGCAGTAACCTGGCTTTGTCAGGAGGTAGGTTCATAGCATTCTGAGAAAATAAAAAGTACAAAGGTCTGTTACAAACCACAGTGCCTCGTAGGAAGAAAAGAAAATCACCTAGGTCCTTTCATGACTGCATTTCAGGGCCTAGCATATGATTCAACCAAGACACCTGCAGAAGTCATTCCCATACCCCTTGGCGCTCCACTTAAATATAAGTGAACCAAGCTCCATTTAAATATAAGTGAACCACTCATCTCCACATTCAGTTGACGAAAGGAAGAGGTCTCCTGCTTTACAACACCCAGACAAGCATTTCGGCAAAAGTGACCCTGTCCGTTTGTAATTAATTAAGAGGTCAGAACTGGCTCTTCAGAAAGTATGGATCTAGTGCAGACATGGAGTCACCAAAAGAAAAATTAATGGCCAGAATCACTGAAAGATGTCACTTGTACCAGGTGACAGTAGAGCTGCTTTCTACAACAGCCTGGCAACCTGAGTTCATCCCCAGAACCCACATAAAAGCGAGGAGAGAACAAAAGGCAGACAAATGAATAACAATAATTTTCTTCTGTGCCCTCTATTCCTTCAGGACTTGCCAAATTAATTTCGCCCTTAACTATGCTTGCACATAAAATTGAGCTTCCAGTGAGTAATGGACACTGAGGTCAACAAGATATTTATACATCACAAGCCCCTGTTGCTACACACTGCAGAGCTAAACATGAACTTGCCTGGATGCAGGCAAGTGTTATGACCCTGATGTTGCATATAACCAATCACGCATATTACCAAGATCCTTAGCAACAGGACTTAGAGCCGCAGAAGATCAGTGTGTGTCCTCTCAGGTCCCCATGCTCTAGACAATTGATCTAAGCACTTGATTAAGGTTATGTCTATTGACTACCCTGTCTCAAGCTCAACACATTAGAATCATCGTGTTGAAAGAATGCAGTACTATTGCAGTTAAGATACACGTTAGAGGGCCTAGCCCCTTCTCCAAATGATGTGATAGATTTTGATGATTCCCCATGGAAGGCCTCCCTATCCTTGGGGAGTGGTGGGTTGGTGGGGTTGGTAGGGAGCATAGGAGGATGGGAGGGCAAGGGAATTGGGGGAATGATATATAAAATAAGATTGTTTCTAAAATAAAAATAAAGAAAACAGAAGACTGAATAGAAAAAAAAAGACATATTGCTAAAAAGAAAAAAAAAAAGAATGCAGTACCATGTCTAGGCCACCACTTAGGAAGACAGATACAAAAGTCTTCACCTGTCAATGCTCAGACCTCCAACTTTCTGAAGGACTCAGCTTACCTCCTGGCCAGGTATTTCATGCCATAGGGTAAACAGACTTTAACAGATTAAAAGCAGGCAAACTATACTGACTTAGTGGCAAGAAATCACCATGTGATGACTTGATAGGTTTAACCCAAGCATTCCCTTTAATATCAATATGACACTCATATTGATATTCCTTAAATATATACCACCATCTATTTATTTGAACCTAAGCCATCATATTTGAAAACTAGCTACCTGCCTTCAGAATCTTTATGTTCATCTCTTTTAATGTTTTAATTACTCCAATGCTGACAATACATTCAGAAGAACTGTGGACACCAGAGATTGGGTGGTACTACTAAAGCTTCTTAAATATTGAAATACCTAAAACAGGGGAAACAGTTTCATGTGACCCAGCTTCTTGGAAAAGCTACTTAAAACAGAATGAAAAAGTATCTAAGTGCATTTATGACTCTGCTCAGATAAGCAAAATTAACCAACCAACCCTGGGGTACGGCAAGGAATTCCATGTATATCTTTCTTGGGGGTGGGGCATACGGTTATTTACTGTTAAATAAACAGCCGTTCATTGCTTATTTGTACCCTGGAGATAAATATTGTCCTCTTAAACTAGTTCCTGACCCTCAGATTAGTACCCTTGGGTATGATTACATGCAGCACAAGATTGCAGGATAAGTTAAATGAGTTTTCCCCCTCAAGTCCTCATTAATCTCCAGAGAGATGAAGGAATTTTTTAAATGCCTGAACTCCAGTGTCCAAAGCAGTGTGTTCGGCATGAAGCATGTCTAATCTCAATCTTCTAGGCATCCGCATGTGAGGTTGATATGGTTTTCCCCAGTTACATGAGGAAACAGGTCTGAGCAAATGTGGCTAACTTGCTTAAGGCTGCACAGATTCATTGCAACAAACCCTGCTAAATTCCCAGGATATGTGGTACTGGTTCTAACCATGGTCATTTTGCAGATAAATAAAATGTCAAGTTATTTAAAACATTGTGCTAGCGCTCTGCCCAGCACAAGTGTAAGCAGTCAGCAGTCACAATTGGAGGCCTGTTGGTACAAAAAGACAGGTAAGGTGCTACTTCTAACAACTTTTATTTTGATTACGCAGCCATCTGTTTGACGAATGTGTATAAAGTACTGTCCCTGTACAAGTACTATGTGCGGGGTGGCTCCTAGAAAGTCTTGCATTGTGCTGGGGAAACAAAAGCTTTTCCCGCTCTGGCACGTCTTCGGAGGGGTTATCAGAGGGCCACTTGGATTAAGAGTGAGGAAGCAGCTCTGGGGAGAGGCAAGCCGGGGTGGCGGGGGAGGGGGAGGCAATGGAAGTTTAAACATGAGCGGAGGTCAGACAAGTGAAGAGCGGAGGAAAGCCGGCCGAGTAGAGCAAACGGAAGAGACTGTGAGACAGGGTGTATGGCACTGCCAATGCGCTTAAAAGTACCCAGCCTGGCCAGGGAGAGTCTAAGAGGGGAGGAAAACAGAAAAGTCAACGCCACCCGCTGGAAGAAATGCCACTCAAAGTCAGTGACTGTACATGAAGTCCACAACTGCCTGCATGTGTGCCTATGCACTGCAAGCATATAGTGCCCATGGAGACCAGAAGAGGGCATCAGATTCCCCTGGGACTGAAGAAGCAGTTGCTTGTGAGTCTCCATGTGGTTACTGGGAATAGAACCTAGGACCTCTGAAAGAGCAGCCAGTGCCCTTAACTGCTGAACCATCTCTAGGGCCCCTCAGATGCTTTTAAACAAGAAAACAAATAAGCAAGTTGCTTTGCAAAGTTGTTGCAAGTGCTACTTAAAGAAATGATTAGGAGTAACAAACACAGAGGCAGAGAGGCCAGCCAAGAGGCCAGGGCAGAAGCACATGTGAGTGACCATGTGAGTCATCACCAAAGAACAAAAACGTACTGCTGAGGGAGCTGTGGAGCTGAGCTCAGCTCTTGCTGTCTACAAGTGTAAGGACCACAGTTCAGATTTCCAGAACCCAGGTCAAAGTCACACGGGTAGGGCAGTGCCCATTAATCCCAGCACCCAGGAAGGAATGGGCAAGGCAGAGTCCGGTAATCCCAGCACACAACATGGAAAGTCAGGGAGCAAGCTGGCTGGCTAACCAGATTACCCAAACACCAAGTTCTGTCTGGGTATGTAAGATGGAAAAGCCATCCAAAACAAAACAAAACAAAACAAAACAAAAAAACAGACACCAAGTCAGATACTTTATGTGTACTCACACCCACTCTAAGATGAAGGCACGTGTACACACCACACACATGCAGGAAAGTGAGGGAATGAGGTTATGAAAGAAAAGTTCAATGAAACCTGACTGGATAGACTTAAAGATACAAGAAGCAGTGCCTTAACTTTTTCTCGAGGTGTATGCTAGTCCATGGAGGGGGGAGCACACAGAGAAGACAACTTCTGTGTGGAGGAAGTGATTTCAAAAAAAAAAAAGCCACAAGATTTCTAAACAATCCTGTCTAGAGCTGAGAATTTACAAGAGAACAGTCAAACCTCCATGATTTTTGGAGGTTAAAGAAAAGGTCTGACGATGTTATTTTACCCCGACTACTACTGGGAGATTAGGCAGTAAGGTACAAATTTCGCTAATGGCATTGAGGGGAGAAATACACTAAGGAGGCCAGAGCATCTTGAAATAAAACAACTTCAGAAAAAGAGCCATGTCTTTTCTATGCATGGGGTCTGGTATGTAGGGAGAGTAGCAAAGAGAGGCAGTAAATGCCACAAACTACTAACTAGACTGCAGCTGCAACCATGACTCCAACCACTCTTTGACTGTGTGAGCTGGGGTAGATTACTTAAATTAAATCTCAGTTCCCCCGCTTGTGAAATAGAGATGTTCACAGTGCAGCCATGACAGTGACGGGTGGTAACGGGGATGGCAACACACAGAGTTGCAGCAAAAGTAAGCCTGGTGATACTGCATTCAAAATAGTATTCAAGCACAGGGGAACCATGCCAGAGAAATATTCATACTCTTGCTATTTTAGCTAAATGCCGAGCATGAACCAAGGCAAGACTGTGGGAGGAGACAAGAGCTACACCACACATAGAATAAACCAGAAGGGAACAGAGAGGCAGGATACGGTTAGTGTGGACTCCAAACTACAGTGTGCGTAAGAGAGCAGAAAGAAGTATCAGCAGAGGAAATGGATAACTAGGAAAAGGAAGCCTCTAAAAGAGTACTCAGAACACAGCAGCCAGTGAAGTCTCCTCTTAGCCTCTCCACGATGTTATTTTCCCCCGACTACTACTGGGAGATCAGGCAGTAAGGTACAAATTCCCCAGTGCTCACATGAAGACTGCAATGGATGAGGGCAGCTGGGGTGTGGCTACCAACCTGGCACAAGTCTCACTCTTCTGTTCAACTGAAAAGCTGTCTGCTCCCATGACCTATATTCATGACTACCTGGCATCCTGAACCATAAAACCTCCCTAACCCAGTGGACGCTGGTAACACTCAGCTTCATTCTTGGCACATGACTCAGGCAGGCAGCCAAATGAATCACCACAGCACCACAGTCATCTTTCCTTGTCCCCGTTACTTTGTTTAATCATTGAGGACACTGATGTCATTCTGGGCACCCAGTGAAGCCCACAGGGGTAGAAATAAGCCTCTCCCTAATCTGGCTACATCTATAAAATAAAACCTGACTGAAAACTGTCCTTTGTAGGGAATGAGAAATAACTCGAACCTCCCATTTCAATCTTAGGAATAATATG